TTTTTTCTTGAATGGCAACATCATCGAAGTAAATGGAGGTTTCTATATGGGAACATCATCGAGCCTTATTTCGGCACCATTTCGGTGTTCGGGTTTTCCACGGAGATGACCCAGCTCAACAGCGATGGCAGTGCAAAAGCATTTGGAGGTAAATGACAGCCGCAACAGGACTCAACAGGAAAATTGGATAAAATTGGATAAGTGTTTCCTTTTTATCTACCTGTATTTGGGGTGTTGGGAGCAGCCCCGAATTGGGGTTACAATATGTTACAATTACAACCCTGATCCATTGCTGATCGGTAGGGACTGGAATTCCCGAGGCCGAGCGACCTTCTGGTACTGTGCCGAGCTTGGCTGATGATGGTGATGGTGATGATGGCGGTTTATCACACAAAATCATTCTAAATTTGCACATCATATTTACATATGTGTGTATAATCGAAGGAAGTTTAGAAGTCAAACTTCCGACTAATATGGACAGATGAAAAGCAGAGCAGGGAAGAGGCAGAGAGAAGAGAAAGATTAGAAGAAAGAAGAGTAGAAGAGAAAGAGTTAGAAGAGAGAAAGATTAGAAGAAAAAAGAGTAGAAGAGAAAGAGTCAGAAGAAAGAAGATGCAGATGCGCGAAAAGGTAGGAAAGTCGCGAAACACTGTGTTTTTCCAATGATTTGTGGCTCCGGAGGGTCGAAAAGTAGGCTCGCTAAAGCGGCGGGTGTGGAGCCAGCTGGCCAGACGAGAGATGAAAAATTGCACGCTGTTGTGGCGCGAAGCACATTTCGAAGTGAAAATGCACAAAACACCATTCTCGGACCACTTTTGGCAGTTGAGATGTCGAAACACGCCGTTGTGGCGCGAAGCACATTTCCAAGCCAAAATGTACAAAACACTAGGGGTGCGGACCACTTCTGGAAGTTGAGATGTCGAAAAAGTGCACGCCGTTGTGGCGCGAAGCACATTTGGAAGTCAAAATGTACAAAGCACACCAGCTTCGGACCACTTCTGGAAGTTCAGATCTCGAAAAAGTGCACGCCGTTGTGGCGCGAAGCACATTTGGAAGTCAAAATGTTAAAAATTCTAGGGGTTCGGACCACTTTTGGAAGTTCAGATCTCGAAAAAGTGCACGCCTTTGTGGCGCGAAGCACATTTTGAAGTCAAAATGTTAAAAACACAAGGGGTTCGGACCACTTTTGGAGGTTCAGATGTCGTTTCGCTTCACTACGCTACACTACATTGCACTACACTCCACTACACTACACTACAGGACATTACACTACACTACACTACCTTCCACTACACTTCACTACACTCCACTACGCTACACTCCACTACACTACAACTACACAACTACACTAAATTACACTACACTACACTACATTACACTACACTACACTCCACTACACTACATTACACTACACTACCTTCCACTACACTTCACTACACTCCACTACACTAAATTACACTACACTACACTACATTACACTACACTCCACTACACTCCACCACACTAAATTACACTACACTTTACTACATTACACTACGCTACTACACTCCACTACACTACACTACACTACCCTACCTTCCACTACACTTCAGTAGATTACACTACACTACACTACACTCCACTACACTACAACTACAACTACAACCTACAACTACAGCTACAACTACACAACTACACTCCACTACACTCCACTACGCTAAATTACACTACACTAAATTACGCTAGACTACACTACATTACACTACACTACACTACATTTCACTACACTCCACTACACCGCACTACATTACACTACACTACATTACACTCAATGACACTGCACCACAGATAGACAGGTAGACAGCTAGACAGATGAAGGGGAGAGAGAGAGAGAGAGAGATAGGTAGGTAGGTAGGTAGGTAGATAGTCAGAGAAACAAAGAGAAATAGTGAGAGAGATCAATCACCTTTCGCTCCATCAGTGGCTTCGCTCTGCCATCCCTGATTCACAACAACCAACCTCTCCTATAGGTTTCCTATTTTTGAAACTTCCGCCACCGCCTTGTGCGGTACTACTGGTATAATTTATATACTAGTATGTGTATTTATCCACTAAAAATGTGATGATCATCCCATATATTCCACCTTCCTTGATGACTCGCAGGCCGGCGGCGGTGTTTTCCGTCTCGGCCATCCTGGAAGGCCCCGGGGGTTGGGTTTTTCTGCTGGGGGTCGTCGGTTTCCACCGGTTGCAATGGTGACGATGATCTACCAATGATGATTTAGGTAATGAGAATGATTGGAAACTATTGGGAAATGCGTGGTGATTTTCAATGATGATTTTCATATATTTTCATGGTGATGAACAAAAAACCATGGATTTTTCCGGAGTATCCCTGAGTCACGTGTGAAATGTGAGAGATGGCTTGATTCTTGGTCTCACGCAAGGACTCTTAGGTTGCTGGTCACGTTTCCAAGAGATGGCGCAGGAAACAACTGAAACAACGTTTCCATTTTCCCATATTTTCCCTACGCATTAGGTGCTGCTGTGCGCGCTGCGTGCCCGTGGGAATCAATCCATGAGGCGTTAAATGGAGGTTTCCTAAAATGGTGCCCTAAATCAATACTGGTTTCCAGTTAAATGGAGGTTTCCAAACATATCCAAACCAATCACTGGGGATCACCGGATCACCCATTTTTAAGAAACACCAATATACTCATAATATCTCATAACAAGGATTCCCAGTATGGGATGGATGTACCCCACATGCCATGTTTTGACCACGGCACACGTTTATACCATTCCCAAATGGTAGGTTTATGGCATTTCATGGCATTGCGTTACCAAAATTCTCCATGGTTCTCCCAAAAAATCACACAGACCCGCGTGAGTTTTGGGTCCGAATGAAGAGAAGGTACCGCGAGATCCTTGGCCAAGCTGAACGAGAGAAGATTGGCCCCCCGCCTGCGTCACTTGGACTTTGAAAGGTTCTGCACTTGAGCTTTGGTGGTTGGAATGATCAACATTGATCAACCCCATTTATCTTTGCATTTGTGAGGTTAGCAATATATTGCACCATTTCTTTGCAGTTTTCTTGAGTTGGATGACTTTACATTCTACGACACCAAGCAGATTTTCCATGCACGTTGTGCATTGCTATCTTTCTTCCAATGTCAAGATTTCGGGGAGATGAACACCCAACAAAAACACCATAAAACTGGTGGTTTCAAGCAAAAAAAATGAAGGGTTTGACCAAAAGTTGACGGTTTCACTTGTTATGGTTGCTGATTCTAGTGATTCTAGTTGGTGGTTTCACTTTTTATATCCAACTCTATTTGGGACGATGATTTCCGATGACTTTTTGATTCAAATGTCTTGGCAATTTGGCAGGTCCTTCTTGGATCAACTTTGTCAAGCACCTTGGATGTTGGATTGAGTCACTGAGTTACGGCAACAAGCACATATTTTATATTACACACATATATTATATGTATTCAAAAATACGTAAATGCATACATACATGCATGCATGCATATATACGTGTATATATATATATATAGGTATGATTTATAGTGAATATATGTACCAATGTGTATGCAACTGCATACATATATGTTTTTGGAAAATGAGATCATGTCATTCTCCGAACCCCCACGGGTAGTTGGTTTGTTGTCTTAGACTTTGCCACTTACCACTGGTTCAGCGCGGTGGTGCTACGCGCACGCGTGTCAAGATGCCTCGTGCACAAACTAAGAATTCAAAGTGATACATCCACTTTTGCAAAGCTCGTACTTGTGATGTTCCCGTATTGGAAAAGGCAATAATTTGGGCGTTTCTTTCCATCTCAAGCTTACTAACTGTCAATTTCAGATTCAGACTCCAACAAACTTTCAGAGATGTTCGTATCATAAAGCAGTGGATCATGAAATATGTTCGGATCATTCAGACTCCTAAACTTCATTACGCTTCCAAACGATTAACCTAATGAATAGCATTTCTACACCTAAAATATTTCTGGACACAAACAGACTCACTGACTGGATCATCAAACAGGGGCAGACAGTGTCCACATTTCGCCAGGTTTTCAAATACCTTGGCCAAGGGCGAGATGTTGGAGACCCAGTCGCTGGATGACTCGACGCGTGTCATCAAAGGTGGCTGGAAAATCCCCAAATGGATAGTTAAATTGGAAAATCATGGAAAATCAGCTATAACTGGTGAATTTCGATTGCCACATTTGATGAACAGATGGTAAAGTTTTGATGATGAGTGATGATTCGTTCACTAACTGCCTAGTGAATTGTACCCCTGGAGCTGTGCTGAAAAGTGCCCAGAGGAATTTGGGGGGGGAACTTATCTTTTTTCTCATGCCATAATGGCCATGGCTGGCGGCAACTGTGTTATTGTGTTGTTGATGTTGGTTGTTGTCCCCTCAGATTTGGCAGTCCACTGTGCAGTACACCTTCAATATCCTTCAATGATCTACAAGCTGTGTGAAATCGGAACCAAAAACTGCCTGTAATTTTGTTTATAGTTTCTTCTAAATCCAAGAAACTCCGAATTACCCCGCTATGACTACTCGATATGTATTATATAATGTAAATATATAATAATGTATGTATATATATATAATAATTCATGTACGCACAACTATAATATATTATTTATACATATATCATTCATATTCCAGGACATGCCAGTGATGTTGGGATCTCTCACCCTCCGATTTTCCGGTATCTGTCTGGGATGATGAAGCCATCACCATCCCCAAGCCTGGCATTACGAACGTAGCTTTGATTTGCTGAATGTTATTTAATGTGATTTCCTGTATTCCCATTCGTAAGGAAAAAAATTGGGGAAATGAAGACTACTGTAATACAATGAAGATCCTGTAGTCATCCGTTAACCAGCCATAAATCATACATTAATCCATTAATCATCCATTAACCAGCCATTTTGATGTGAAACACGTGGGGAAACCTGGGGACTCCCAGGGCTCTTTTGCAGTGTTGGGCTGTGAAAGGTGATGTCGACTGCCACCTTCACAGAGGCTGTTCTATCATGGAGAGAAATACATATCTACGTTGGCATTTCGCATATTTTTTATTTTTTTCCGTTTGTGTGAGTGTCTCGCTAGCGTCCTTAAAGTAGCCAGTTTGGTTCCAGCACCACTGCATAGTCAAAGCCATCGCTTTCCTTGGTCTTGCCCTCAGTCAGATTTGAGGCTAAAGAGCATCCAAATGATGCTTCCGTATCACATTTGAGTTTTTACACATCATAGCTTAATTTGATAGCAATTTAAGGTCATTTGCTCTTCCACCAGTCCAGGGGTCCAACGGTCCAGTAGTTCACCCATCGCTCTGTGCCCAGGCCCTGTCCAGCCGTTGCCTTCTGCGGTGCCAAGCCACATCTCCCCTTTGCAGGCCAGCCTTGACCGGGATCAGGATGACTGGGAGCAACGATGTGCCAACTTGGACTTTAATAATTGTAAATTGGCTGAAAATTCCTGAAATAGCCCATGATCAATGCCACTCAATTGCTATTTACACCATCATTGCTGCCCCCTGTTTGCCCAAAGAAGCTCTCGGCTTGGTGACGTCACATGGTTCCTGCGGTCCTTGCGGTCATTGCGCGTGGAGTCAGGATGGCGGATCAGGAAGGAGTTGCTCAGCCGGCGGCACAGCCAGAGCTGCCAATCGGCGAGCCGGAAGCCTTGCAGCCTGCAGCCCCGCTGGAGGAAGAGCAGGCCCAGCATGTGGAGGACTTCTTGGCCCAGGAGCTTGAGGAGGCTGATGTGCAGTCCTTGGCCCAGCGGTCCCAGCGGTCCCACTACCAAGATCCCCTCGTGGAGGCCGCGTTTGACCACAACCAGCGGGCGCAGCGCGAGATCGTGGAGAGCGTCAGCACTCTTCTGAGCCAGCAGCCCGCCATGAGCGCAGAACTCCTGATGCTGCGCAGAACTCTATGTTGCTGGCTTCAGCTGTAAGCCCTTTTCAATGCTTCACGTGAACACGAGGCTTCTTGAAGAGGACCAAGCAAAGATCTTCTACTCTGTAGTCACCAGGGTACGCAAGTCTCAGCCCGCTTCATTTGTTTTGGAAAACGTTCCAGGAATACAGCGCTGCATGGATGAAGTGATGCAGACGTTGAGGGATTTGGGTTACATGGTGGTAGTTCACCTGCTCAATCCCACGGATTTAGGTGAGCCCGTCAGCAGGCCGCGCTACTATTTTGTAGGAGTTCGACAGGATGTGGCCATTGTTGGTGAAGAAGTGGCTCAAGGCATGTACAACCATATTTGGCAAAGGTTGAAGAGCTCCAGCGGTCCTGCGGTCCCACTTGGCAAGAGGCTCTTGCCTGCAGAGCACAAGCTTGTCTTGGAAAACCAGTCCCTTCGCCAGCAAAGGTGGGAAGATGCCAAAGCTGCAAACTTTGGTGGCGACAGTAGGTCGCAGAAATGGAAGCAGCGCCATGCAGCCTGGCAGTTGGAGCATGCTGAGAGCCAGATCCAGCCAGACCCAAGCATGCCAAGCCCTGATGAACTTTTTCTTCACCTACCACGTGAGCGTGATGTGTGGAAGAACTTGCTGACGGACAAGAGCATGCCTAGACTGGCAGTTGCTGACTTGTCCCAAAGTTTGGGCCGTGTGCCTTTGCGATCTGATTGCACACCTACCATCACCCCTGGGTCCCACGTGGTTGTGTCTGAAGCTCGGAGAATGTTAGCTCCTATGGAAAAGCTCTTGCTACATTGCCTGCCAGTGCACACCATGTCCTTTGAAGGCATAACCGATGCTGAGTTGGAGGACATGGGTGGGAACATGATGCATCTCCAGACTGTGGGAGTAGCAATGTTGGTTGCCATCGCCCTTGTGGATTGGGCCCAGCCTGGGTCTAGATGCGGGAGATTGCCACAAGAAGGCAACATGGTTCTTGCGGTCCATGCGGTCCCTTCGGCCCCCATGCCAGCAGCAAGAAAGAAATCGCTGACTGCGGCAGAGAAGAAATTAGAAAGGCAGCTCCGTGAGCGATTCGGATTGAAGGTTGGCATCAAAAGAAGAGTGAAGGTTGACGCCTCAAGGCTAAAATCCCAGAAGAAGGTGAAGCTTCCCTGCTTACCTTTGCACAAAGCGTGCCTGCGTGGAACACGCTGGGCAGGCTGAGTGTTGAATTCGTTTTCATCTAATTCAGAGGCACTGTGAAGGTTCTTTCTGTCAGCGCCTGCTAAAAATTGAGGTGCTTCGAGGTGTTCTTTGAATTCTCTTTCACATTTGCCATGACCTGTTGTTGTTAGCTGAGGTTGCTAGCTTGCTCCACTGCTACGCCAAGGGCTTGTGCATTGCCTGTCGGGCAGATGTTGAAGTCGCTACCCGTCAAGCTTGGAAGCTGGATCGGTTCTTGTGGTTTCGATCTGCTCTGCGGAGTAGATCTTTTCAACTTCAGATTGGTCCTGCGGTCAATCGGCTCCTTGACTCCTCTTAAGCAAAGTTACGTTGTTTCATTGGGCTGCCGAGTGTTTATTATTAAGCCAAGCCTCGGCAGTTATTCTTTGATGCTAGTTCCACCTGAAAGGTCATATGCCACTTGCAGTGCACTCAAAGCATGTGCCAAATCGGAGGGCTCCAGGTGGACTGTAGTTGCAGGGGAGAGCAACTCCAAGAGGGGCAAGACTAGCTCAGTGAAGACATTGAGCTCAGTCGGTGATGTTCTATCTTTTATGCGGTGCATCAGAACATTGAAACAGACACGTGGAATCTCAGGTCGTTTCAACACATCGCAGCTCAAATGATTCCAGCCTGTAGCAAAAAGATGGAAAAAGATCTCTTCATCCGGCTTGGCTGTTTTCTCGATTTTGCGTCAAAAACAGCCCAGAATCACCCCAAGCCAATACACCTCCAGTTTTCAAAGACCAAGGGCGTAATGAAAGGGGATTTTCCCCTCCAAATACCAAAACTCAGGAATCGTACAATTGGGAAGCTTTCTCTCCTCTCAATCCACCTCCGGTTTTCGAAAACCAAGGGCGTATTGACCTTGGCATTGCCCTTCTCAATACGCCCTCGGTTTTTAAAAACCAGTGCCACGCCGCTTATAGCTTCAGAATTTTTGAGGATTTTGCATCTTCGCATGGCTTAGTGGATCTACGCATGATTTAAGTGCATCTTCGCATCAATGTCATATTTGTATAAATATGTATAATTATGTATATACCCATGCATTGAGTTTGGCAGGCTTGGGTGTGCATGTATCATCTTTAAGTGTTTCAATGAATGCTACCATTTTGGCTCAAGTAAACTTGAACCAAAATAGCATTCATTGCTGTTTTCTTTCTTGGTCTTGGTAAGGGGTGACCTTTCCAGACCTTGATTGGGTGGTTCAAATTATATACAAGGGGCGACCTTGTATGCAGCGCAAACTCCCAGGAATCGATATCCCGGCAGCCACTGAGGCGAAGATCCTTCATGCTGCTGCTTTCCTGGAGTTCAAGAGCCACGTGGAAAGGCTGGCGCGGGAGGGCTCTGATGCTGCAGCATACACATGCTGGATGCATGGCGTTGAAGTGTTGCATTCCCCCTACGTCATCACGACTGGGACAGATTCAGAGCTTTTCCCCCCCCTGCCGAAGATACCCTGTTGCCTTGATGACTGCCAGCGTTGCGCAGCTCATGTGGGGGGGTTCAAGTTCCCGTGGCTCGGCTTGTGGAACAGCCGTGGCGTTGTGCTGCCCGATGATGTGGCGCCGCGGATGCTTGGGCGTACTACTACCAGCACCAGGACCCCATGGACCTGCTGCTGGTCGCTGCCTATACGAAGCACAAAGTGGCCGCTGACATCGTGCCCCAGGATCTCTACGGGTTGCAGCTCAGGTGCTCAGCGGGCGACGCTGGGCAACTGGGCTTGGGGGAGCTGTTCGATCAATGGAGGAGCTGGCTCAGATGCACAGGCCCTCACGAGCTCCTACCGGTCTTCCTCGAGCCGCGGCATTTCCCCAGAGCACCTAGGGGGCGACCCTGGGTGTCCTGGGGGCGAGAAGGCGCCAGGGCACCTCGAGCGCTATGTGGATGGCTGGAATGCCAGGATGCAGGCATGCTCCAGCTGGGCACCGCCTGCACAGAGTGCGGAGATCCCACCAGGCGCGTGTGCTGGGCATGCTGCGTCGGGATGTGTAGTGACTGCTTCACCTGGCGTGAGCCATGCAGCACTTGTGGAGGACGTAAGAAGATGTTTGCTGCAGGTTGATTTTATGACAGAGGAGGCACCTCTGAAGTCACCGCAGCATCTTTTTGCTCTCCGCACCTTAGCAATCTTGTTAGGGTGCAGCGCCATGGCATCAGGCGGCAAAGGCTACTACGCAGCTCAAGCGGCAGCTTCGTCCTCGTCAGGGGGTGACCCTGAACCGGGATGGAGAGCAGCCGACTCCTTGATGATGATAGCTGCACAGCGTGCGCGTCAATGGAGGGAGAACGAAGGCCTCCTGGACGACAACGACTTCGCCTATGCCTACACCGACTACGATCAAGTCGTTGGACTAGCTGGCCATCACGTAGCAGATGACTGGCTGCAGACAAGAGCAAGGGTGGAAGAGCACCTCCTTGCTGCTGGGGCCAAAGTCGTGGAGGACAACCCTAAGGGTTCCGTCACTCTGCGCCCTGTGCGCAAGACAATCTACAAGAAAAAGCCCAAGGCCGTCAACGTCACCAAGAACCTGGATGAGGCCGTCCAGAAGCGGGTGAACGGCTTGGTGTCGATGTTCGTCGGAATGGGCGCATACAAACCAGCTGGCATCTTGACAGACACCCTCAAGGCCGAATGGAAACAAACGTGCAAGAGGATCGCCGAGAAGAAGGTGAAGGACGCAGAGAAGGCGACCATTGACCGAGTGGTCAACACCTGGTTGGAGCTGAGGGCTTTCTTGGAGAGTCGGGGGCGACCCGCTCCTCCTGGAATGGTCGACCTGGATCAGTTCCTCAACCACACCCAGGCGCCAGCACGAGCACTCCAAGCCTTGAAATGGATGAACAAGAATGCCGACCAAGACATGGAGCTGGGAAACTTGCAAGTGCCTACAACACCCAGGGCGACTGGGCAGCGTGGGCAAGCACCGGTGGTGGAGCCGCCATTAGTGCAGGCCTTGGAGGACCGCATCACGGAGTTGCACGCGGTCGGCGATGAGAGGTGGTCAGTTCTTCTGGCTCCTTGGATCATGTCGTTTGGCTGTTTGAGGTATGCGCACATCGCGCGGTCAGAACCTCGGCGCCTCACCGCTGCATTCCTCCATTGCAGGTGCCCTAAGGGAAAACAAAAGCATGCCCGCGAAGGTTTCGACTTTGCGGTGCCGGCCACATTCGCCAACGGCTTCTTTTGGGCCAAGGAAGTGCTGGAGGCATACAGGACGCTGGCACCAGCAAGGCAGAGACTTGCAGGCCTTTGTTTTTCAGACGAAGGGCGCCCATGGACGATCCTAGAAGTGCAAGAGACGATGCAACAGGAAATGTCCGTGATCTGACCACCTACAGCTGGAGGAGGCTTGCACCCACGGTGGCCCAGTTGTTAGGATGCAGGCCTGAAGAAATGGCAGCCCTGGGCGACTGGCAAAACAAGAGTGAGCAACCAGAGGTGGGGGCGATGGCATTTCACTATTCTTCGGCAAAATACGCCGCGTCAGTCAAGGTGAAATCCCTGATCTGGGGCGCTACGGCCAAGCTCGCTAGCAACCTGCTGTGGGAGGTGATCCCGCAGGCAGAGCTAGATGCAGCCCGAGCTCATGGCCTTACTGAAGCTGACAGGTTGCTGCGACAAGACCGCCAACCTATTTGGGCCTCTGCACATAGCTTCCAGGACGTGAAGAAGAGGCTCAAGTTGTCACAGCAGTTTGTTGAAGCGGCACAGCAAGCCCGGCAAGAGGCCGTAGCCGCACCGGCACCTCAGATGCCTGATCAACTCAATGGCAAGGTGCTGACGGCCACTTTGAAGAATGGTAAGGCCATTTGCCCGGAGTTCCAGACGGACGAGTGCCCGAATCCGGCAGACTCCTGCCCCTTCGGAGTGCACTTGTGTGCCATTCTACAAAAGTCAGGACGGGCATGTGGTGGCAAGCACGGTGCAGGCGTCTGCAACATCAAGCGGGCGGTGTTGGCCGCAACAGCAGTGCCAGCGGCACCCAAGCCATCGGCCACCTTGGTGCCGGCAGCCGTGGGGGAGAAGGCCACTTTTGGCCGGAAGAGGACCGCGGCGAGCGGTGCCACTGACGACGAGATGGCCGAGGTGATGCGCGCAGCTGTCAAGAAAGCCCGAGGTCAGGCTGCACCCAAGACTCCGCCCAAGGCGCCAGCCATTGCAGCCCCCAAGACACCTCCGAAGGCTGCAGCCACTACACCTAAGCCACCGGTCACAGCTGCTAAGGCCAGGGCTACAACCACAACGCCGAAGCGCTTGGCCGCTCCTGGGAAGCCACAGATCAAGGCCATGCCAAAGAAAGGCCATGGCAAGGCAGCAGGAGACACCTTGGACCTCCACTTGGAGCGTTTGGGTGTGGGCTCAGGGACAGCCCAGGCCCCGACTTGCATCTGGACATCCCGGAAGGGTGGTGGCATCTACCTGGCAGGACTTCCAATGAGGCAGACGGTGGACAAGTTCCCCAAGACAGCGTTGCAGATCTGCTGCTTCCCGAATGGTCCTGAGAGCCGGGGGGGGTGACCCTCCCGGGAGCTCAGTTGATGACCTTCGCGGCGGCATACAGCCAGGAACGCAACGAACAGTGGACGGACGTGTGGCCGGCCGTCAAGAACACTGTTTGGCACGGCGACAACGTCGTGGTGCACTGCATCAAGGGGCGACACCGGGGTGCTTTCTTAGGCATCCTTTGCCGTGCATTGCTGGCCGGTGAGTCCATTGAGGATGCCAACCACTACGTGGAGAGCCGCAGGGATACAGAGCTGAACAAGGTCATTCGCGACCAAGGCATGCGGAAGTGGCTGCACAAGACCTTCCAGGACACCGCGGTGGGAACACAGCACCCCGAGCCGCAGGGATATGCAGCTACGGAGAGGTCCAGCACCCATGTCACGGTCGAGGACGGCATCACCTTGTGCCAGCACAAGCAGGCCGATGGGAAGGCGAAGCGCCTGGTGAACCCATACATGTCCACGGACGTCTTTGAAGCTCT